AAAAAAATAATATGGGCAATAGTTGTGTTATAAATTAACAAAAAGGCAGTGACTATTCCTTTTCTCCTAAAGTGATCTTATATTTTCTGTTGTTTTTTTCATTGATCAATTGTTTTCAGAGAAGTAATTATGCTATTTTTTAATGTGAAGAATATTGATGTTGTCATTAAATATGCAAGTTAATTTTATTCTTAAAACTTTGTGGTAATAATAACTAAAATATGTTCTTAAAATTTTATGTTCAAAATGTTTTACAAATTGATTGCAATACATGAAAAAATTGAAATACATAAAAAAATGTAGTGAATTATAAAAATAAAAGTTTCATTTCAGAGAAAAATGGTTATATAGAACTATCGAAAAATATTCATAAGTTTTGTAGTGCCATTTTTTTAAGAAATAATAATAATAATATAGTATCAAAAAACAATTTGAAGTGTCACTCAAGAAAAATAAATGCAACTTACAAACAATGTAGTTAGTTATGAAGTAAATAAATTAGCTCTATTGTGTAGAATACTTTATTTTCTAATTATTACCAGATTATCGAATATTGAAAAATAATTAGTTTCACTCTAAAAATATATAAATTTGGTATTATTTTTTGAAAAAAATAAAAATAAAAATACATTTAAATTTAAACTTTGAAATTAAAATTATGAAAAAGAGAGAAATTTCCTCAAATAATCCCACCTTTCATTTATTTGCGAAAAACGGGCATTTTTCGAAAATTCTGTTAAGTGACTGTTAGTTTTTTAACGGTGACCCAAAACTCGCACACGTGCGGAAAGGTGTGATTATTTCTGGTGAGAGTGAAAAGTGGGATTATTTTTGAAAGACCGCGAAAAGGTGGGATTATTTGAGATAATTTTTCCAATAATCTAAAACGTTACTTTCAAATTTATAAAATATTTTTTCATAATAAATGTATTTTTATTTTGAAAATGGACTAATTTGACAAAACACGAGGTAAGAAGGCATCATTTTGGGAAATAATATAAAGTTTAAGATCGTTACAACGGCCATTAGTCGGAGGAAAAGAACTGAGCATAATTCTTAATTATCGAGTACCATTTTGAGAATTGGTTAATTTTAAGGCTAATTTGAGAAAACACAGTTATTAAATCTTTTTACGCACCTCTAGGAATTTATTCCTCATACCAATGAACTCATCAATCTTTTTACGCACCATATTTCTCGACACAGAATTAATGCTTGTATTCCCTACGTCCAAAAATATAAGCAACATTTCAAAAGATGTGCAAACTATCATTTCTTTTAAATCATTTTATTTGCAAATTTATAGAGAAATAAAAAGTAAAAATAAATCAAAAGTTCTATAAAACAAGACACGACAAGAATATATTATTTTATCAAATGATCAACCAAAACGAGTAAAAAAACAAAAATTATCGAAATGTCAAAATAGTAACGGTTGCTTACTTTTGGGACACTTTTGGGAGAGAATATAATGATTGTCAAAATCGTACGGGGTGGTACACACTATACACAACAAGAGAAGAACCAGTTAAATTTGGGAAAGGTTCAAGTAACATTGAATCTTCATGTCATGACCCGGGAGCGCTCCGTTGCCCCATTCGTAACTGAAGGGGGTGGGGGGTGTTCGGGTCGGGGCCGGGTGGAGGGGTTTACCGGGGTGGTTAGGGGGTAGAAATTGTCAATTTTATGAACGGGGCACCGGAGCGACCCCAGGTCATCCCATAACATCAAGGTTCAATGTCACTTGAACCTTGGTGGTTAAATTTACCTCAATGTTTTACCCTTTTTAGCTCAAAAATAAAAAGAAAGATTCGTCAACAATTAGGACTCTAATCAACTTACTGGGAGACTTAAAAAACAACCAAATAAAGCTCATTCATGAACACAAAAACAAAAATTACAGTTTACCGTCAACTTCAACAGAGTGAGAAAATGAGAAGTCCGTTCATGAACAGACACACACACACACCATAAATGAAAGTCAAGAGATCCAACAAGTTGAACCCAAAGGTAGAATGCAATTAGAATGGGTAGGCAATGAAGACCGGCCCCATGAAATTAAACAAGTAACTTAATACCAAATTTCGTAGTTTCTCACCCTTTCTAGTAAGATCTGTAAGCAATGAACTAAGACATACTCCGGTATTTCATATTTCTTTTTTTTCTTCTTTTTTTAAATATAATACTAAAAAATGCCCATGTTTAATGTCAGAAAGATCACCTCACATGCCTTGGCCATCAGCACCATTTTCGATTCGCTCCGTGCCCTCCGCGTGACTTAGAAGCTCAGTGACACAAAACTGGTGCAAGTTTTGGTACGTCTTTTGCCATTGCTGAAGCATCTGCATCGATTTCTTGTGCTCTAGCTTTAGCCGTTCCATCTCCACTTCGTTAGCCACAGAAGAACTGCTTTGCTGCATTCATACAAGGAGGGCATGATGAAACACTTGAGTTTCAAGCTTTCTTTTTTAGTATTCAAATCAAATGGTTATGCACTGCTTGGATAATGGTATAAGCCTTACTTGAAACAAGCATATTAGCCAATTAGAATACGGGTATTTAAAAACAGAAACTAGGGAATACATCGATAACAAGCCGTGGGAATATTAAAACATTGCGTTCTTCGGGATTTCTTTCTTAAAATGTAACAAAAAGAGCACTACAGAGGAACAAATCTCAAATTAAAACAAGGTGACAAAACCAACCTCGAGTTCTCTGATTTGTTTGTTCATGGTTTGGATAGTGATATACGATGGTTCGGTATGTGTGTTTGGGATGCTTTGTGGGTAAATGAATGCTTTAACCTCCTCATTTTCATCAAGAGAATTAGAAAATTTTTCTAATGGTGGTGGCATTCGAAATCCTAGCCTCTTCGTTGAGGAAGAATGCAGAGCATTGGACGTTCGTGAAGTCATACATGATGGTGGTCTAATAACAAGGATATTGTTAACAGGTCCTGTAAAATAACAAAACAAAAAGTACTGTCAATAACAGAGCACGGAAATACATAAAAGGGAGTGTGAATGACTTTTATCATGTTGATATGGTAATTATAAATTGTACCAAGCAACATATGATATTGTACATTTGTATTCAAATGATTCACTATGTTAACGAAGGCTCTCTTATATTAGCACCCCATAAGATTCTTATTATTTCCCTCAGCTAAAAACATTACCTTGCTAATGGCAGGCAGCCAGGCACTATGAAGCCACACACTTAAGAGAATCAAAGGGCACGTAAGTAATTACGAGTAATAAACCTCATAGTTGTGAAAGAAAAGCCTGAAGTGCAAGCTGCAGACCTGCAGTGCTTGATGCATATTTACAATAGAGGTGTGGGTGCTGTTTCAAGAGGCACCCTATTAACAAGTGATGCAGGTGCTATTCAAGAGATACCACATCAGCACTCAATTCTTAGGCAGAGACAAAGATGTTAAGATAAACTTCTTTTTTCAAATAAAATGCAAAACTAGTCTTCTAGGATATTGCATGAGAACAGAAACGAAAGAAAAGATAGTCGTGCATCTCCATCATAACCTTGGTCACTCTCATTCGTCAACAATGCAACCTACCACATCTGCCAAGTACCCATGCCACACTGCCACTCGGCCAGCACCAACAAGGTATGTTTCTTCTTCCTCTTTCTCCTCTCATCTTCTATTCTATTTTGTACTAAATAAAATTATTGCTAAAATTTCTTTTTAGGCTTTAACTACACTCTGCATAATTTTTTTGCTTTAGTTATTTGTTTACTTATTTTGTAGACTTTTCTCCTCTATTCTTTAAAAGTTTCAGCACCAGCAAGTTTTACTTTTAATACCTATGGTTGCCAATTTACTATTCATTACAGTTTAAGTATTTGAATAAATGCCGGGTGCTCTGATATTAGAGTTTTGTATACTGATTTTAGAGCTGTGTCAAAAACATTGAATAGTGATTAGTTGATATCTGATTTTGTAGTTCTGTACATTATACGTAAAACGCATTCTATTCATACTTCTCATCTTGTGTATCTTTTTTATGGCAAAACATATGTTACCAACCAGGTCAAAAAATGAGGATAGAGGTATAACCAGAGGCGGTCAAAAGAGAGAAGGAATTATATAGACCGTATTATTGTTTATTCTCATTTAAGCATAGTGTTCATGAGGCGTGCACCTCAGAGTGCATCCCCTCTTTTGTGTCTTATTCACTTGATAACTACCAAAAACTATGCACTAGGTAGCGCTCATAAAACACTTGAATTTTTCTTTTCGAGACTATTAGGTTTAAAAACTCATAACGTTGCATTGGAAGATGGGCATCAAGTGATCGAAAGGGGACTAGATTCAACTAAAAGAATACTTAGAGATGTTCTGTCAATAGTCTATATTCCTAATCTTTGTTATGCCGCATACAAGTATGAAGCTTTAAATAGACATAACTTCACTTTGTAGTCCTTACTCAATAAGATCTTGAAATTTCTTGAACACTTTACAACTCTCTCTATTCATAATACTTAACAACCTAAAATCTCCCAAGTGGGGTATGGAGTTAGGTGTACCTTACCCCCACCTAGAAAAGGTAGATAGGTTATTTCTGAAGAACCAGCACTCAAGCACAAAAGAAACACATTAGTAATACTACTTATTTGATTAAAGTACAAATTTCTCAGCAAGGATTCTAAACTCAAAATTATTCTCAACTCATAGTTGTGCTTGGGAAGGGCCTAAGCAGAAAGGTACCATTGGCTAATGCTTATATTACTTGACTAGAAGCTCAATGCTTCTAAGTTTCACTGAAAATGAACAAAAAACAATATCTATTGCTATTCAACAAACCAATTTGGCACCATGACAAGGGGGTTTTGGGGGCAGGACCTTTAGACTTAATGAGTTAAAGGATCCCAAACACTTCAGAATATAATAAAAGAACACGAAAAAGCTGATTTGTAAAACAGAAAGTTCAGTTTCTTGAGCTGGCTAAAACCTTATTGATATTAAATGTACCTTTCCCATGCCTAAAGATGCGAGTGATGCTGTGGCTTTTAGTATCCCAGGCTCTAACCAAGCCATCTTCTGACCCAGCCAATAGCTTGAATCCATCCATACTAAAAGCTAAACATGTGATACCCTTGCTGATTTAAATGTCATGGTATAATAAACATTTTAAAATTAAAACAAGAAAATCATGAACATATAATTCAAGAGCGCATCTATTTGGAATTTTAGGTAGAAAGTTCCAATGAATTTAATGAAGAGAGTAAAGAAATGATAAAAATCTTAGCATTCATGTATTTTTTGAGCAGAAAGATTGTGGACATTTGACTACAATACCTATGCTCAGTAAGAGAGCCGATTATGTGTGACCCATAGTTACTGTTTGAAATGGACAAAGCATTAAGCGCGCCAATATATATCTTTCCATCTCTACCACCAGCATAAAATACATGCTCGCCAGGGTCTAACGCAATAGCATCAATTATTGATGGAAACACAACATCTCTCAAAACTATCCCTCTTGATAAGCTCCACACCTATGGACATGCACACAAACTTGATAAAGTGAACAAATAAATAACACACAAGAGTCAAAACGATATCCCTGTACCAATAAATATTTGGTAAAATCAACATAAGCTCAGAAACTAATGTAAACATCAAAAGTAACAATTTGAGGTGACAAGGAGAATATGAGGAATGGACGTGAAACCTTGCAAGTCCTGTCCTCAGAAGCAGATATTATTATGGCATTCACCCCTCCACTTCCAACCACAATATCAGTCACCTTCAACGTATGTTTAGAAAAGCTATGCTCATAGGGGCGTTCTGCCTGTTTCCTCATAGAATCGTCAAATACCCTAGTCACATAAGGTTCAAGTAAGCATACTTCACCGCCCAAGAAAATGAAAAATGTTCTACGTGCACAAGAGAGCAAAGTACATTATAAGTGACCAAACTCGAATACTTCCATCCTCTGATGCAGAAACCAGCAACGATTGGTCGTCAATGAAAACTAAACAAGTAACTCCCCTGAAATGAGCATGCCATTTCTTGAGAAGTTTCCCGCTAGCAACCTGTAAAATCATACATCCAGCCATGACTATACAACAACTAACAAATATAACACTCGTTCAATTATTACAAGAAAGCATAAGGATTCCACCTGCCATAGGTATATATCTCCGGAAGCACCACCTCCAGCTATAAATGATCCATCGGCATTAGAAACAAGAGGGCCAATTTCTTCAGCTGGGAAGCTTTTAGCTTCTACTTGAGGCTACGAAACATAAAATCACTAAAAATCTATAAACATCACTACATTGAACGAAACAACTACATAGAATAATTCGAACAAGCATATATCCGAACCGGAGGATACGGATTCGTGGATTTTACCTTATTCCAGGACCAGTAGAAGATGGAGACGGCAGATGATTTGGATTGGCGGAGTTGAGAGGAGGCGAGGAAGCGGCCGCCCACGGACGCGAGGCCGTGAGGAGGGGAAGAGCAAGTCCGGAAGCGGAGGTGCTCCGCCCCGGAATTTAGGTCCCAGCAGCTGATGCCGCCGTCGATCGACGACGAAGCGATCACCAGCTCCGGCTCCATCGACGGTTGTAAGGGTTTAGGCCACCGCAGGTGGGTTTAAACGTCAACTTTTTTTATTTTTATCATTCTTCGGATCCACATCGGTATGGGCCTTGTTGATTTTGAAATTATTTGGCCCGATTATGCTTAAGGTTATTGGATCAGCCTTTACTCAAATAGATTTGTTTTGGCTATTTTTTTTAATGAGCTTGGCCCATTAAGTAGATACGGCCACATTTTCCACCCCACCGTTTATCTTTATGAATTGAACTTGTTTGGGCTGAATTTGGAGTACACCAAAAATTACATTTCAGTTTCAAGTTTAGAACTATTTAAACTGAATTCAACCAAATTACTTGATTAATTTAATCGAAAATTGGCAATATGCTTAGTTAATTTTAATAAATATGGTGTATATTTAGAAAGTAAATTTACTTTTAGGGATCGAAGACCAAGGGGAAGCAAATGTATTTTTTTATAAAATTAAATAGATCACTAAGTTTTGTTTTGATACCCTTATTGTCGTTGTTTATGCTCGACTAAAAGAAAAGGAATATACTACGTAAATACTCTCGCATATATGAGTCTTTTCACCTGTATTCCTAGGATTGTAAAACTACGAATAATTTTAATTCCATTCGTGATTCGTATTCGAAAAAATGATACAAATAAGAATATAAGTATCTATTAGAATTTGAAAGAAAACAAATACGAATACGAATATAAATATAAAAATTTATGCCCAATATACTTTATATTTCATATATAATAAATACAAAACATAATATATAGAGTATTCAATAGTTTGCCTTTTTAAGTTCAGTACTCTGTAGTGGATACTTTATAGTACTCCCTCCGGCTTCCGTCTCAGTGTATTTGTCCAGTTTGATTTTTTTGAGTCAAATTGGACAAACTTTGAGCTTCAATTAAATAAAAATAGTAACGTATTTTAACATAAAAATGACTTTATTGGATTTATCGTATTGAGAGCTTTCAAAATTGTATTTCATAATGCTAATATGCAATATAAATTGAGAGTAATTGAAATTCAAAATTTGTCCAATTTGACTCAAAAAAGTCAAACTGGACAAATACACTGGGACAGAGGTAGTATACCCTTAGTTTTCAGACGCCATGTAGAAAAAGAAGTATTTAAATCATTTTAAATGAATTATAAGGAATTATATATATATATATATATATATATATATATATATATATATATATATATATATATATATATATGGAGTAATTGATAATAAACCCCAATATCATAAGTTCATACTCCATAAAACTTAATTACTAATTCACTACTAGAGTAGTATACCTCGTCATTTCCTTTTATTTTTTAGCAAAAGTTCTTTAATTTGTAGACGTGCAGCTGAGCAGCATTCTCGTACTCTCATATGCTACGATCCTCAAAATTTGAAGTTGTAAAACATAAAAAATTCAAAATTTGTATTTTATACCAGAAAATAATTACGAACTAAATACTTGAATTTAATATCAAATCGAATAAGAATAGTAATACTTAATCGAATTAAAAAATAAATATGAATAATGATATCATTTTTCAAATACGAATAAAATTTCATAATATTCCATTTAATTCGTCCGTTTTACAATCCTATATATTCCTTCAATCGTAGCTCTTTTGTGTTTGTGGTATCAGTAATTTCCACTCCTCTTTTATTTTGATTTTCGTGTAAAAGTAAGTCAGATTTTACCATTTTCTTTTCTCTAGTAACACTTCTGTTTGATTCCAAATGTTTAAATTTCCTTTCTAAAGACAAATTTGTCTAAATAATTAAGTCATGTCATTTATGTTTTTTTCTCTTATATACATAAGAGTGCTGGTACTGTGAAACATTCACAAGTTCATATATTGTGTATTAGTATTTCATAATATTTTTTAGGATTATAAATTAATATTATTTGGTATGAAATTTTGTCTTGCATAAAAACATTAAATATGGAGATGGTCTTGTTTTTTTCATTTTGAGGACCGCCTGCAATAAAATTTATGTGCTTGATTTGAAATTTGAATGGAATTGGAGGGCAAGATTCAATCCCCTTTAGAAGCAATTATAATAATGGGCAGAACATTCGCACATTCCTTGTCAATTCAAGTGTCGGCAAACATATTTTCACTATCAAAAAAGATTTTACACTTCACTTTTAAAAAAAGTGAGCAGTTATTTAAAGTTACTACATTATAATAAATTATTAGTATTGAGAGAGAAAAATTGTACAGTTGAAATTTGTGTACAAAGTTTGTTTGAATTAGATATTCTTTTCTTAAGTAAAACAAAGATGTGATGTACGTAGTATAAACTTTATTTTAGAACGTAATAAAAAATGCAAATTTCACTATATAGAAATAATTATTAGGAGAAGTATACATATACTCCCTAACTAATTAAGACTAAAGCATACTTCATATGCCAAAATATGAATTTAGTATTTTAGTCTTATTGAGGTAGATATATATATATATATAACTTTCAATATTTTTATATCAAAACACTATGGAGTGTGGTATGACTTATAAGACCAAATAGCACCAGTACCCCCTCACCCCGTACGCGTGGTTTAGAAAATAGATACCAATACCTCTCTCATTTGTTTTCTAAAGTTATTCTTAAAGTCTCCGTGGTTTCAACATTACACTCATATCCTTTGTTCATTTTCCGCTCATTTTTCGGTGAAGAAGGGGGCATAAGTACCTATTTTTCAAACCATATGAGGCACTGATGCTCATTTTTTATTTTTCAATTATTTTTTTGTCTTTCTGCTTTTTCCTGTATTGTTTCTTTTAATAATAAGTTTTTGTGCCAATTTTCCAAACCAGAAAAATAAACAAAATAAATTTTGAAAACTGAGGGGTATTGGTGCCAATTTTTCGAAGCAGAGAGACAGTGGAGCTAATTGGCGCCTCACTTATAATACCAAAACATAATGTTAAAAAATTTGAGAAATGTTACTCCACAATATATACACGATCCGAAATTGTTGAATCGCTACGTAATTTTACAATGTATGGATGTCAGCACTCATATTTTGATATAAGTTTCATATTTTAATCTCATAGATAGATTTTTTTTATTAGATTATATGTCTTTGTAAATTAAATTAAAGTGGTGGGTGTTTGTTTCTTCAAAATATTGGAAATTAAAACATGTAATGTCTCAGATTTTATTACTCTAAGAACCAACTTGGTAGGCAGGATGCTTCCAAAACATAAAAATATATGGTTTAATTCAGTTGGCCATACAAATTTGAAAATTAAATAGGCAGTCAATAAAGTGGATTATACCATGAACAACAAATGTCAAAAAAGTGCATGTTAGTCTAAAATACTTAACTTTAGAAATCAAAGACATCTATATATTCCCCTTTAGACGCATTGTGTTCGATGGGGTGCACACATGCAGCACGTGACATTTTGTTTTAGGGTATCATAAAGTGGTTACACAAATTTGAGAAAATTAAAAATTAGGCTGCAGTAAAAGAAATATATTCATCTCATTACTTTCAAAACATTATTGAAACTTGCAAAAAAAAATCTAGAGATTTAAGTTCATAGTTACTTGCCACTAGTGCATTTAGGACAAGTATTGTTTTTTAGTATTATTGACTCTGTTACAAAGTAGTAGTATATAATATAAATTAAAACATGCATGGGGAAACACTACTCCTATATGGACCTTCCATAGTTTTGTTGTATGTTTGAAACCAACCACTTCTTCCACCAGTTGTTTTTTTCCAAATACTATAGGGCATTTTGATTGGTTTCAACCCGTCAATTTTGGCCGATCTAGAAACTGGAAGAAATTTGAAGGAACTGGAAGAAATGAAAAAAATTAAAAGAAACTGAAAAAACTAGAAAAAATTGAAAAAATCTAAAAAAAAGTTTTAGAAAATTTTTATGTGTGGTTTTATATTATTCTCATTCTGATTCTTGTTGTTATAAAATTATTATTATTGTTGTTGTTGGTGGTGGTGGTGGTGTCATCACGTTATCTTAATAATTTTTTTTAAGATAAAAAATTATTATTTTTCATATATAAAAAACTAGTTTAAAAAAATTAGTTAGAATATAAAATTAGCATAAATATCAAAATGTTAAATACTTAAGAGTTATTATGGCTATGCTGTATTTATTATGAAATAATATATTTGTAATTAAAAAGTTGAAAAAAATAATAATAATGAATGTAAATCATAAAAATAGTGAGATGAAAAAAATGATAATTTATAAACTATAGTTATGGGCATAATTGTTGTAATAATAATAATAATAATAATAATAATATTTTTTTAGAGTGATTTGTCAGAAAGTAGAAAGAATTTGAAGAAAATAAATATAGTTGTAAGAAACTGGAATGAACTAGAAAAAACTAGAAAAACTGGAAGAAACTGAAAAAAAATAAAAAAAAACTAGAAAAATTTGGAAGTTAAAAATTGAAGCTCTAAAAAAGAGGCTCTAAGAAAAATTTACAAAGTGAGATTTGAACGTGAATTCTAAGAGGTAAAAGTTACCCTTGGAGTAGAATAGCCGCATTTTCCGTGAAATTCATTGAGGCTAATATTTTACTACTGTAATATAGTACTTCATCCGTCCCTAAATATTCACAACATTTGCTTTTTCAGCAGTCGTGAGAACTTTTGTTTATTTCGACGTTTTCATTGGTGATTTGATAAAATAAAATATTCTTGGCACTTCTTATTTCGAAAACTTTTCATGTGGTTTTTTTATATGTAATTTTTATTTTTTATTTGTTTACCAATATGTAAATAAAATGAATTGAAAAAATTTGATATTTTGACTCGGAAATAGAAATGTGACAAATAATTTGGGAGGTTGAGACTACGAATGATATGACATTTTTGTGGAGCATTAAAAAGAAATTAAAAGTGAAAAGTGGATGTAAGCAGAACAAATGGAACGTTGAGCTGGAAAAGAAGCTTTTTAGATACACTTTGGTTAGGATATGCAAGGCTCTGTTTGTTTGGCACCATAAATCCGCAGAAAAAAAAGTTTTGGGAATTCGTGTAACCTTAATTAGCTTGGACAACCTAAGCTTGCAGACTTCTTGAAACATTATAACCAAATAATATGGCCGGTAATTAAGGGT